GATCCGCATATACGTTTGGTGTGTTGGACCTCTGAACTTACCACTTTGTTCTGTAAGGCATGATGAGAAAAGAATAAATCAAATATATGAGTGTGTATGCAAAAGTTAGAAAGAGGGTAATTCTAGTATTGCATGCTGATCATTTTGTGCTTTTTTTTTATTCTTTTATAGGAGCAAAGGCAGCATGATTTTGTAAAAGATTTCTTTGGGACTATTTCTCGGTCACAGAATCTTCAGTATTTCTTCTATCAAAAAAACGTAAATCCACATTTATTTATTTTTACTGTGTGTGACGCTGCAGCTGAAATCTCTTTCCTGTGGAGTAGAATATTGATCGAGATCGACTCACAAGTTTTGTGCTTCGTGCTTATTATTATTATTATTATTATTATTATTATTATTATTATTATTATTATTATTATTATTATTTGGGTCACTTAGCTTCACGCAATCAATGGATCGGGTCCGGTTCGATCATCAAATGCGGTCTGAGCCGGTCGCCCGGCCAGGATCAGCAAATGACTCGAATCAGGTTAATTCAATTCTTATTGGACCGGGTGGATTCCATGGGATCTCGATGCCTCTCCAACAAGGAAAGAGAAGGAATAAGAGGGAAAGAACCAAGTCCCGATCATAGTAGAAGAGGACGGCCGGCGACAGCGGCAGAAGACGAGGACGGGATGGGGGTGGACTACTACAAGATCCTGAGCGTTGACAGGAACGCCAAGGACGACGACCTCAAGAAGGCCTACCGCAAGCTCGCCATGAGGTGGCACCCCGACAAGAACCCCAACAACAAGAAGGATGCCGAGGCCAAGTTCAAGCAGATCTCTGAGGCCTACGAGGTCTTGCGCGACCGATCCAATCTAATCTTCCTCCTCCGTGATCCGATCTTGTCTTGTTTGTGTTAGGTCTTGAGCGACCCCCAGAAGCGCGCCGTCTATGACCAGTACGGCGAGGACGGCCTTAAGGGCCAGGTCCCCTCGCCGGGCGCTGGCGACCCCGGAGGCGGCTCCACCTTCTTCTCCGCCGCTGGAAATGGGCCCGCCTCGTTCAGCTTCAATCCCAGGAGCGCCGACGACATTTTTGCGGAGTTCTTCGGCTACTCCAGCCCCTTCGGTGGCATGGGAGGCGGCGCTAGTGGTGTTAGGGGCGGATCGAGGTTCCCTGGTGGAATGGACGGGATGTTCGGGAATGACTTCTTTGGGTCGGCCTTTGGCGGCGGCCGGGAGGGCGCGTCGATGTACGCTCAGCAGCCGCGCAAGGCCGCGCCGATTGAGAACCGGTTGCCGTGCAGCCTGGAGGACTTGTTTAAAGGGACCGCCAAGAAGATGAAGATTTCGAGGGAAATTGTGGAAGCTAGCAGGTAAATTTCTCCCATTCTTTGGTTGTCGAAGACGTACCAAAGCTGTTGCTTGCATCCTTTGTCATCATACTTTTCTAATTAGTGCATGTCTCTTAGGAAGATGAAATTGATCTAATTGTAGTGACTTTTGGTGTTTGCCTCCTTTCTTTCTCTAATTGAAATGTCATGCTTTTAAGTCAATCCAAGAAGATGTGAGAAGTGCAAGTTCATGGTTATTTACAGGCAAGTGGATCCATTGGTAAACCAGTAATGGTGTTGTTACTCTTTCTTGAAGAAAGATGATTCTGAATAGCCAGGATCCTGCATTCTTATGGTCAATGATATTTTATTGTGAATCCGTTGATAACCGTAAGTATCAGCCGTATATCTGCTATGTTAAAGTTGTAGTGTTCATTGTGGGATTGTACTTGTTTGTGAATAGAGTGGGTTTCTTTTATGAGTCTCACGGTGTTGTGCTGCAGAATTTCCTTGTTCTGTTAGTATGGTTGAATCAATATTTTTTTCTTCCATTTGCTAGTTCGTTTGTTTCCCTCAACTGTTTTAGTTTGTTTGCGTATTAGGTGATATGTTTTATAGTATTCATGATTCTTCCGCTTGTTTATTAGTAAACTGCTATTAATATTGTAAACTACAATAAGTGATTGATTCTTCAGCTCTACTTTTATCTTTGTAAGATGATTCAAGAATTACAGGATAATTCGGTGAATACATATATGATAGTAAAGTGGAACGGTGACCGGTGAGCTTTCCTATCGAAACAAATTGACACTTGGCTGTCTCAGTTTGCTCTCGAATAAGCCTAATACTCATCAATGAAGCTTTCTGCTTCTATTTGTCTTGAATCAGCTTTGTTTTCGGATGTCTTTTCAAATAAGCAGTGTATTTCATTAGGTCCTATAAATGCTTTCATGTTTACTATCTAAAATAGGTAATCATACTCATATGTGATTATAAAAACATGCTTCCACAAAATTATTTGCAATTAATGTCTCTATGTTTGTTTATATTTATCTTGATTTTAATTTAAATTTATGTTATATATATGGCTAACATACTTGTGTAATCAACGATTGCTTTGTTGCGTCTGAAAGGAAGTGGAAAGCACTGTTATATGTTACTTAGCATCAAATCTGCATTTTGATCGAGAGGATATGAGTTCTTTTCCTCAAAGTGTTACTTCTTATATGTTACCTGATACTAGTTGAAAGGATATAATGTGATCCTTTAATATTCAAGGTCAAGGTAGCACCTTGACCTCATTGTGGCAGAAATGCAAATAATTGATCTTGTGCAGAATCCTTGGTATATGTTCTCTGAGTTGCTCTCTTTTCTAAAACAACTGCACAAGATGTAAGAACAACCGCACTAGATGTTCTCTGAGTTGCTATCCTTGGTATATGCAAGGATATAATGCTGTTGCCAGCTTTTCTAAAACAAGAGAATGGTAGTTGTAGTAGGAAGCTAATTACTTGGGAAAAGTGTTTTCTGGTTATCAGGTGCTTATATTGTAAAAACTATAGTCATGCACTGGATCTGAACTAGACCGCTCCCTGTACAAGATATAGAGCTGCACTGCACTGTTTTTCCGTGATGCATCTCATTCAGACTTGAACGTGTCTTTGAATTAGATATAAAATTAGAAAATGACAGATGCATTTTGAGTTGGTGAGTGGTAAGGCTGAGATTTCCCTTTAAATAAAAGATGTAAAATTAGTGAGTGGAAAATGCTTCTGGGTCTGGTCATAAGGAGCCACAGAGGTCTGGTTGTTCTGGGAACAAAGGTGCTAGTATGGGAAGATTTACAGTTATGGCTCAAGATTGGTACTAGATATCTCTTTGCATAATGTAGAACTGTTGCGCCAAACTTTCTGGTTCGAGTATCGAGAGCCATTGCTGCAATGCTTATTCAAAATTAACTTTCCAGTTGTATTCTCTTGTGGAATTAATTACATTGGCACTTTCATGACCCCAAGTCACATTTTCTTCTGGCAGATTTTTTGGCATTCTCTTCTGGAATTAATCACGTTGGCACTTTCATGACCCCAATTCACATTTTCTTCTGTGCTGACCTTGCGATTGAATGGCAGATTTTTTGACTGATGGTTAACTGTTACACATATAGTCTTCCATTAGGCAATCTAGATTAACATTCTGGTCACTCTACAGGCTCAACACTATGCTTATTTTAATTTTCATTTGAATATTTTGATATTTGTTATGTTAATATATTTCTTACTCCTGTGTGATGCAGGAAAACAATGACAGTGGAAGAAATTCTGACCATTAATATAAAGCCAGGTTGGAAAAAGGGTACAAAAATTACTTTCCCAGAAAAAGGAAATGAAGCTCCCTATGTTATTCCTGCAGATATAGTCTTCATCATTGATGAAAAGCCACATGATGTCTTCACGAGGGAGGGAAATGATCTGATCGTGACACTCAAAATCTCTTTGGTCGAGGCTCTGACTGGATATACTGTTCATTTGACGACACTCGATGGTCGCAGCCTCACTATCCCCATAAACTCCATCATTCATCCTGGTTACGAGGAGGTGGTCCATCGAGAGGGTATGCCAGTTCCAAAAGATCCCTCCAGGAAAGGAAATCTTCGGATCAAATTCAACATAAAGTTCCCGACAAGGTTGACGCATGAACAGAAGGCTGGGATCAAACGTCTGTTGGCTCAATAAGAAGGGATATAGCGATGCTGCTCGAAGTCTAGTGCAGTGAATATATGCTAGGGTGAGCTCAAAAGCTTGAATGGCTTTGAATCAATGTTTTTTTGTAACTTAATTTCGATATTATTTGAATACCCTGATGAATCAAAAGCTAGTGCATCTTTGCTTTGTTACAGAAGAATGAGTGCATCCCTGATGAATCAAATCCCACAATAACTTGTAGTGCATTTTGTGTGGACATTGAAAATTGTCACCTACCCAATATAGTTGATTTCTTTGCTTCACTCATTATTTGGACTTGCAGGTGCATTCACTTTGTCTTGATCATTGCTTTTCTCGATTCTTTTATTCTTCTTCTGTTTTTTATTATTTTTTTCATATTTATTATTGGGAAAACTTTCTTTTTGATGAGTCTAATTTCATCATTTTGTTTTATCCTTTGTCAAAGCTATATGTAATTGTTCATGAATAAGAAGCTATATGTGATTCTCCTTATCTTTGCGCAAATTCATAAAACTCGACCCTTGTTTTTTTTAATGAATTTTATATATTTATAAAAATATTCTCATCTCGGTTGTACATAATTTTTAAGTTGCTTACTTTTTCATCAATTTCTGCTCAGAAATTTTGTTACAAAGGTAAGTGATTAAGATGTGATTGGATCTTAGGATTCTACTACTAATGCTTATGATCTTTACTTACTAATTACTAAATCAGGACATTCAACGAGACGAAATGAATAGTTGCAGTGAGGCTGTTTAAGTTATTCTCACTGTAAAAATGTAAATGCATTTTGAGTGGCGGATATATCCTCATGATCTTCTCTCTTCCATCTTTCCTTGATGTATATTAAGTAGAGAGAATTAAGTAGAGGGCAACTCCTCTTCCGACCACAGGTTACCTCTGGTTAAAGATTACATAACCCCAACAGAATGCTTATCTCAATACAGTAAATGAACACCATACAGTAAAGAAACTCCTTAAGGACGAAAAACTTTGTACATGTTTCCACATTTATCATCAATCATTACACCTAAGCCAGACTTCCATATTTTATGAGTGCTTGGTTTCCATCTCATATTGGAATTTGGTAACCACATCCATAAGATGCAGTCCTAGCAAACTTGGGTAACACTATATGCACAACTCAATTAACAGCATTAAAAATTGACTCTATAGACAGCAAAATAAACAGTGCCCACAAATCATATGGCTTCTCAGAAAGAGAAAGGGTTTCCTTCATGTTCGGGTTCTTCTGTTTGAACAGCTATGCACCGAATCCATGTTCCACAAGCTCCTGTTTATGTTTCAGAGCAGTGAACTTCATGCAATTTTCAGATTCAGTTTCCTGAATTTCTTGGCTCCACGAAACGTGAATCTTTCCCTTTGTACGGACCATCACCTTACGAGGAAACATACTTCAGCGGGCTGGTAGTACTCTTGGATCGTTTCGCACCTCTTGCCTGATCTTTGCCATCTTCAGTGTTTTCCATAGAGCCCGTACCGAAGTCATCGTCTCTAGAACGTTTACGATGAGAAACAGTTCTGAGTTTGCTGTCGAGTGCAGTCTCGACTAGAAGTATAGATGTCAGATCTTGGTGGAGCTTATCCAGTTTGCCTTGAGTAGCTTGTAGCTGCAATGACATGACCTCCGCTCTACGGTTGGCCTCAGCTTGAGCAGCACGTTCCGTGGCCAAAAGGCTCTCAAATACATGGACTGTGCTGGATCTTTGTTCATTACTCTGACACAACAAATCCTCAATTGCTTGCTCTCGTTCCTCAACTCTTCTCTCAAGTGATGAAACCTTCGACAAGGCATCAGACTGATGCAGCCTCTCTATTTCATCCGTCAACTTTGCTTTCTCGTGCTCCAAGCTATCAATTTTCTTTTCAACTCTTTCAATCACTGCCAATCGTTCAAGTGCAAGTCGTTGTGCTTCACTTTTGTCCTTCTGGATAATAACTAATTCAGCCCGCGCAGCATCAGCCAACTCAATTGCCATCTTTGCACCTCTTTCAGCATATTTAATCCGTTCTTCTGTTTCATCAAATTTTTTTATTTCAGCTAGGAACTTCTCTTCAAGATGTTCCTTTTCTTGTTCCAGAATTTTGCTTTGGTTCTCATGTGATTGAGCCATCACCTTCATAGAATCCACTTTCTCAAGCAATTCTTTGATTTCATTCCTCAAGCCCAAATGTTCTGATTTATGATGTGCTACTTTTGATTCCACATCCTACAAATACAAAGTGCACCATCGTCTATGTTATCAGTAACTGTATCATAAACCTTAGTCAAAAGAAATGAGATCCTTGAGTGTGAAATTACCTCCAATTGCGTACCCATGGTACCAATGAGGCTCTCAGTGTTCTCCAGTTTTGCATTCAAGTTCTTGATTTCCTCTTCCTATTGCATCCAATAGATGTTGAATCAAGCTTCTGACAAAAGAATCATAAAACAATATATAAGCAAAAAAAACATTAACCTTTTCCAGCAACTCAGTGCCCCATTCTTCTCTTATCACATCTTCCCTTTCTAGTGCCTTGTCGTTAGCCCATTCCTGCACTAATCCTGACCTCTCCAGACCTGCTTTAGCTTCTCCAGCAGCAATGTCATATTTCTGTTTCCACTCCAATGCCTCTTCTTGAGCAGATATTACCTGTTCATGAGCAACAGCGAATCTCCCCTCGGTAACAGTGTAACTAGATTCAAGAATTGTTTTTTGAGCATAGAATTTCTCTTTTTCTCTTTGCAACTCCAAATCACGTTGATCATACTTATTTCTCCAATCAGAGGACTCACGTCTAACATCATCAAGATCCTTGGACAGACAAATACAGCACTCCTCTATCGTGCTGCATTTGCTTTTCAAGTTCACAATACGAGAACTTAGATCTTCAGACATTCTTTTCTTATCAATGATCGCATCCTCATAACGCTTCATATATTCAGATCTGTGCTTTTCATTTGCTGTAAGTTGCTTCTTCAGCAGTCCCAATTTGTCTTCATTTGAACAGCATTTCAATGCAAGAATACCCCTCTCTGAATCAGTTTGATGTAATTGCTTCTCAAAAACATCCTTGATGGGTCCTTCCAAACTGCAAGACAAAGAAGCAAAACTAGAAGATAAAAGCTTGGAAAACAAAACAATGTCGACCCAGAAAAGCTTGCCAATTATGGAACCACCAAAACAGGTCAAAAAGTTCTACACATAAAGAACTCTTTCATAAATTCATATAAAGGGTTAATTGGACAGCCATGAAGCGGCTGGGACACAACCCACCAGACTGACATTGATTTAAATCAATGTTATAGCTGCTCCAAACTGAGCAACTTATGAAATCTCTTGCAACCAATAATTGCTATATCAGAGCAAAAGAATGCAACATGCAAAAAACAACAACTAACCACTCAAATAAGAAGGTAGCCAATGTCTTCCATTTGCTTGGACCATGTGAAGATGATTCATACTCAGAGATCAGATCATTCAGAACCTGATGAAATTTCAATAATATTGAGGTCTTAGGTACATATGATACAATAAATTAAACCATGCAGAATGTGTCTATCAGTGTAAAAATTGATCATGTGGTGAGAGAAAAAAAGAGAAAAATAAAGGGAAAGGCAGCTAGGCAACTAGAAAGGATGTAATAGACTGATATACAATCCAAATGACAGATAATGACTTCAATGACTGCATTGTATTATTTGGTGCAGTATGTCAACAAGTGATGCATATAAGAGCTCTCGATATGCCCATATAACCCTACTTAGTGTTTAGAGATTTATAATCACTTGAGCAGTCTAATTGCGACCTTGGATTTAAAAATTACTGGTTTAAAATTCTTAAATGCAATTAGCAAAGAATGAAATTTCGACCATGTTGTATTTCCTTTCATAGTCGTATCTAAAATTCATAATTAAACTTTCAGATAAACATAATGGATCCTTCATATCGTTTCAAATTAAAATACAAAATTTGTCTGCATTGTTAAAAAAGCAAGCTAGTAGATCAAATGTAAGCATCATTAAGCATATAATCTCCACTTCCCAATTCCTCTGCCTATATTACCTAAGCACATAAATTACAGCGAACAATGACCAATACTCCTAAACTAGCTCATTATTAATTTGCAACTTTGGTACTTATATGCTCACCTTAATCACCCTGTCAACTCTAGCATCAGCATCATGACAAGCTTGTCTCAAGTTGTTTTCCATACTTCTCACGGTATTTGAGCATCTCTTATCGGCCTCCAAAAAGGCTGTCCTCTTGTAGTCCTGCAAAAGCATTCATCAGAATTAGTACCTAGCATGACAACCAATTTTTATATATTAATATATAAATGCATGCAGATGCCAGATACAAATGTGATTAGCAAGTTTAGGGTCTCCTGACCACATCAGCAAATTTCTGGTTAGATCATCCAAAACATTTGAACAAACATGATAAATTTCTAATTTAAAAAACTTGGTGATTGGATTAAGTTATGGCCAAGATTTCAAATGGATTACAATCTCACTCAGCCGATTATCCTAAATCTCAGAAATTTCAGCTGGCATGTTTTCTTGAATTTAGCTGAAAATTAATACATCCATTTACTCCATGTCTTTCTTACATCCATTAGATGTTTTAAGGTGTCACAGCTTTAATGTGTTAGAGCTTCTACTTTTCCTATGCCACATGATATAGCATACAAGAAGCTCATCTCATCTACTGCCAAAAATAAAAGTATTTAAGGACTTTAATGCTTAATCTATTAATTTTCTAAATCATGCTGAAGTAATCTCAATGAGGAAGCTTCTTGATTTCTCTATGTTTTACGTGTGATCAGCAGTTATTCTATTTAAGCTTTGCTGAGCATAATAATGACAAACAATCTTGAAAAGATGCAAGATCTAAACCAACCAATACATTTGACCTTGTTCTTTGTGGGAAAGGACATCCAAAATGAAACAGAGCCAATTCTATCAAAGGCTTTCTTAAACACAGCTTAAAATTTTAAGCCCAATACATGTTCCTTGACTACTCCAAGACTACAAAAGTTTGAGTCCCTTCTTTCATAGATCTTTCACTCTCTGTATTCAAATAGGTCCAACAAGTAAAAGGATCTCAAAAGTCATAAAATGTATGAAATTTATGAGGCTTCAGACCCTTTTCCCAAACCTATAAAGCTTGCTATAGGAAGGCAAAACACTGGGAGAAAAATTGTGGTGTATTTTGCTACTTGTTTCCATCATGGAAAATACTGAACTGCACCGGAGGCAGATACCAGCACAACACTCCTTATGTCGAACTAGCACCAAAGATGTAGGGAAATGACATGGGCTGGGCATTTCTCATGGTAGTCTGCACGATGATACTGTGCTTTAAGCAATGTGGACAATACAATCAAAAGAGAACAGACATCTGTTTGTGATTCTATAAACAACAATATACCTATAACTGATGCCAATGATCATACCCAGATTAAATCTGGCACATACCTCAAATGTCTTTCTGAAGAAGTTCTTAAGAAGTTTCTCATAATTTAATCGTGCTGAACCAGCACCCATGGCACAAGTATTAAAGGCAGCAAGTGATTTGTGAACAGCATCTTCATGTACTTTTCTGAGAATAGCCTGTAGATGAAGTTAGCACGCATGAAAGTCCAAAAAAAAGTTGTCATCCATTTATCATCTATGGTGTCACATCACCTCATCAGCTGGCCTAGTGCGATCAAAAGATGACAAGTAAATCCCAGTCGCAAAGTCATATGCCTTTCTGCATTCCAACTCTTCAACACTCTGTAGTCAAACAATACAAAAAAATAACAGTTTAAGAAAAGTGAAAAATGTATGCCTGAGATTCTAATCATTCATTAGCTACTAACTATCATGAGGGCATACTATCACAGAACTTGAAAACCAAAACAGTAAAGAAATTTGCTAATACCAAGCAGAGTAGGACATTAACGTTTCACTTCCATAAATAGAAATTCAGAACATAAACAACTAAATATGCCTACATAGCCTAGTGTTAAATCCTCAAAAACAAACTAAATCACTATGCAAACATTTTGACTGGATTATGTAATAATAATATAAGCATGTTAAATAATTTATGTGATGTGAAATCCAAGTATCATGATGGATTTGTTGTTACCGTGTGTAGTTGTGGTTGCAAAAACCTAGCCATAAAGAAACATGATATATATCTTAACCATGCAATGAAACAACTCCAATATGTTAAAGATTGACTTAAGGGAAAGGAATGACAATTAGTGCTATACCTCTTGCCACAGGTTGTATGTACCGGTGCAAGTGGTAAAGATTGACTTGAAGAAACATGATATTTATCTTAACCATGCAATAAAACAACTCCAATATGTTAAAGATTGACTTAAGGGAAAGGAATGACAATTAGTGGTATACCTCTTGCCACAGGTTGTATGTACTGGTGCAAGTGAGAACCAACTTGCGGACAACCAATATACTAAGAACCAAGCAGACCAAGTTTTGATGTTTTAACCAATCTTAATCAACTTTATCAAGACAAACTTAAAAATCGACTCTCTTTTTAATATGTCAAAACAGGTCTAACATGGTAGATCACGACCTTTAAATCGTGCAGGATCCTACCTTGAAACCCTTGTGTGCACACCTTCTCTCAGGCACAGGTGCTGGAGGAAAAAGAGAAAGACGTGCACTAGAAAAGGATAAGGAATAGGAGGAAGCAAAGTGGAAGCAGGAAAGGTAAATTCTGGTGCATTAGTTGATACGACTAAATGGACTCACCACTAAACTATGAGATATAAAGTATGGCTTGCTTTGCCTAGGTTATTAGGCTAGTATACTACAAAAAGCTAATTTGGAAATTGGTACCTAAGCAAATATAAGACACCCGTTGTATGGATTAGCAGATCTAAATAGGAAGTACCTACAATGGATGGTGCAAGGGGCAAGATCAACATGGAGCCACCAATGTGGTTCACAAGTCTTTCAGACCACCAACAAGAGATTAGGGAAGGGCTATATATTTCACATGTGGATCCTAATGAGAATGTCACGAATTTGAGTCAGGAGATTGAGAGGATCAATTAATCCATCATCAAGAATCAATGTTAGGATCAAAATATAAGACTAGAAAGGGTTAATATGCATGTCTTGAGCATAAGCATTTCGGTATGTGTTTGAAACTTGTTTTGTCTGGATCAATTGGCTATTATATCTTATCAAGTTGTGACAGGAGTGACGATCCCAAAAGATTTTATAATTGCTCCCTTCAAATGGGCTCAAAGCATAAAAATGGCTGCCACAAACACACTGCCATTCTATTCAAAGTTTCAAACCAAAGAAAGTTTGCTAGATTGATCAGTGATAAATACCTTTGAGATGACGAGCCTCAAAATATTTGTTTCAGAATTACAATAATTTTCATTTACATTAGGATAATTGCACAAGGCAATTTTCTAGTAATCATTCTTAAGAAGTCTAGCTCCAAGATTGCATGAAAATTCTGTTTTGAGCCAACAACATTATTGCAATCGAAGGAACCTAGAATACGGTGGGTCAATGTCACAGCCTTACCTTCAAATATAGAGACTGTCCCAGGTCATGATGGAGCCATTGTACAAAGGTCCACCCTCAAATGTTAATAGTTTGTTATGGTCTTGATATTTTGAAAGTTGAAAATATAACGATTGCTTTTTGCAAAGTTTTGTACTGTTCACACTAACTGACCAACTTCGTAAGAGAAGAACTGCTAATAATATTTGGTGATGTCAATGACACCCTAGAGAGGTATTTCATCTTTTTGTTTGTAAGTTGAACTGTGTGGCATAAGCTCAACAGGTTGATTATAGAATGTGAACAAAATAGACCATATAATCAAGGTTTGATTTGATTGAGTTTGGACAGTTTGGTTTCCAAGTAAAAACATGGTTTGATTTGAAGAACTCACAAACCAGCTTAATAAGTTTTTGAATCCCTATAAACAAGGCCCATGAACACACACAGCCTGCAAGAGCATATGAATATTATCAGATCCATTAAGGTTCTACAATCTGATAGGTCAAGCATCATGACATACAAACAAATGCACAAAAGAACAAGAACAAGAAGACACATCTCAAGCCATTGTCCACAAAAGAGTAAACTATATCATAATCATATGAGTATGTAAATATTGACAACTTGATAAACCTGCCATGAGGAGGATATCGTAGGGACAGCCCCATTGTTGATAGCATCCAGAAACAATTGTGTGATGCCAGCAAGAACAGGACCTGTCATGACAATGTCCCCTACTTGTTTAGGCCTGGTTCGCTCGAAAACAAAATTCATCAATGCATCAAGGCCTGATCTGAATTCTTGTCTTAATCTTGCTACCTGCATGATGAAGAGAGTATATTATGAATAAGTAAATAAAGGTTGGAAAAGCTAATATGATCAATGATTAAAAAAGAAAAATTAAAAGGCAAGTCTAATATCCTCACAGGAACTTGATCAAGGCGTTGGAGATCATTTTCATCATTTAATGGCCTCACAAGTGTCAAGCACTCTCTTTCCGGAAAAAGAGCACAAATTGACTCCCGAATCTGTCAGTGTTTCATGAAATAGAACAGTAACCAATATGATAATATGTAACTGTTACATGTAAGAAATTTGGAATCACTCCCGAAAGAAAGTTGTTATTAGCTAGCTAAGTAGCAAAGTTGAATGTCTCCAAGAGCACTAAGCAAAATACCTCATTCTTTGCCAATACATCTTTTCCTCCACCCTGCATGGGCCTTAAGGCCAACTCTAGGTAATCACGTGGAGTAATTTTGTTGTTATCCTCAGACAAATCCAGATAGAAGTCCTAGAAATCATAGGGTCATCCACGGTAATCAATATGAGTGGTCAATCACTTCACAAACCTAAGCAAAATCTCAGTCTCAATAAGCAGTAAAAATGATATAATTAGCTTGGTAGGCAGAATCACCCTCAGAAGCCACACAAACATCGGTGAAAATTGACCAAGTTCAGATACCATAGACATTCTGTCAGTTGCTCTAACACGGATATGTTTAGTCATCTCAGTAACAAGAGATAATCGATCAAGTGCAGCCTCATCTATGCCACCCATCTGAAGGAGATAAAACAGGAAATACAGAAAACAAACAATTAGTAATTTCTTATTTGAGAGGCTGTGCTGATAACAAATTTGGTGTGAGCTAAACAGGATTAAATGAATGCGTAAGATCTCCAACTCATAATCTCCACCTTTTCCATGACCACGAGCAAACTGAAACTCCAGAAAAGGAATCTGTACCTGGTTATAGATGAATAGGCTTGACAAGAGAACAGCTAAGGAGAATATCTGAATGCTGTATGTTCCCTGTAAAAGAAGGACGAGGAAGACACCACTTTAGACACTTTGAAATGATTGCTGAAGAGCATGATGACATAACATATTAGATAGGAAATAGCAACTATAGCATTTAAATTGACATTTACCATAAAGTATAGGAAATAGGAATTATAGTTTTTAAGTTGACAATGCACATAAAGTATAATGCATCACACAAATATTCTACTACAGGCTTTAGTGAAGGAACACAAAGAAATCATTCATAACATGCATTGCTCATATAGTCCAGTGCAGGATCAAATTACAAGACAAGTCCTGATTAGGGTAAAACATGAGCAAGAATCTAAAGCAAACAAAAAAAATAAATTTCAGTGTTCCCATCATAAAAATGATACACTTGTGCAGGTGCTTCAACAACAATGAGAATTAAGCCATAATATCCCAATTATTTGGGGTTGGCTACATAGATTTGTTGCCACCACATTGAGCTCTATATAGAATAATATACTTAGATAAATTAAGAGAATTCAAATCTTTATTTACAAAATCATTTAAAATAGTCTTCCGTATCTCCTTCTACCTCTTCTCGCTCTGCAAGTATTAATTATTTCACCTATCTTAACTATAGCATCTATAAATCTCCTTATTGCATGTACATACTATCTTAAGTCATTGTTCCTCATTTTATCTTTGATCCTCTAAATATAGTTAAATCTGATTGTTTATAAATGAAAACATTTCCTTTTATATCTTCTCCATACATTTATCTTTTCATTCTTAGTGATATAAAAAATTTATATTTGTTGATTTTTAACTGTCTAACTCGTAAATCCATAAAGCATTAATATCCTAACAGCTAACTTATAAAATGTTTCTCTTGACCTAAGAGGTACCTATTGATCACACAAAAACTTCTGATGCCTCTCCACTTTAACCTCATTTTATCTTCATCAATCTTTTCATCTTCTTGAATGATCCAAGATACCTAGAAGTTTTACTTATTTGAACTTTTTGTCTATCCAATTTAACTATATCCCCAGTTCTCTTAGTATTCAACTTCGGTCAATATTAATTCATCTCATGCATGCAAATAACCAGGATACACCAAGGGGCAGCGACACTGATTTCAGATGATAACTATATCCTCGTATAATGCCAGTGAATTCTTGACATGGCAAGCGTGGCATAGAAGCACATACACAATATGTTACTAAAACCCAGAGATTTATATTTCGCTAAGCAGTATGTACCAATCTGATAGCATATCCTATCATGAACCCACCTATTTCAAGCAGTTTGATACTATCATTTTTTTATTAAAATGTTTTTTTTTAATGCCTCATCACCTAGGACTCGCAACTCGTAAGGTTCCTCTCCTCTGTCAATGGCTCGACTATCGCTGTTGCCTGCCACCCACATGCTCACTACCCCAGCCGGCCTCGTCTAGGGTACATCTCCTACTCTTCTTCTTCTCTTCTTCCTCCTATTCTTCTTCCTTCACCAACTCTTCCTTCTTCATTCTCCATTATTCTTCTTCCTTCTTCTTCTTCCCCTTCCCCAACAGAATGATATTATGGTACATTCTGACATGTCATGTGTCTTTTCACTAGAATGTATTGGACTTGGACTACCTGAAATTGAAAATCTTGCTTCAACCTAAGTTCCAAATCACTGACATGCGCTCAAATTATTCTGATTAGCTTTTTTAGATCAAACAATATGAGAATTGTCCTCTAGAACCCAAGCCAACATAATAGTAAGAAATCCTTTACGATTATAGTATGAACCATGATACGTTAAAAAAAACTATAATTATCTAAGAGAATTACAAGCTACAATGTATGAACATTATTGATTTCAAGTTCATAGGCTTATCAGGGATGATATTGAATATATATGTTGTGATATTTAATCATAAAAATTGATTGGTTAGAGACAAATAACATGATCAAGTTAGATTATATTATGTACTGGATCAGCCATCCACAATCAACCTAAATGTCATCATACCAAATTCCTAATTGTAATTAAAGGATCAGATATATCATTCATCCAAATTAAGCATCAAACATAAAGGATTTTGATAATGACTACAAATTCAAAATGTGCATACTTCTGGTAGTGACAATTTCACCAGTCAAAATATTTTGGTCCTTACATGTTTAATCTGTTACAAGAGTGTTATATTATATATATACACACATATATCCATTAGTTTCCCACTGTTTAGTCAAATAAGTTTCTGACTCTGATGTACTTACAACATACAGTAGTGAGCAAAATCTTTAACTATGATATTCACAAAAGACCCTTGTGACTAACATGCTGGTTACACTTTGGCAAAGATTCAAAATTTAATGTTAAGGTCCTCAAAGTTGTTGCAAGCAGCAAGATCAAATATTAATGCATTGATACACATCACTCAAAATGAAAAGGAATATTACCAAATAAAATAAATTTTGATACGCATGTTGCAAAAGTAAAGCACTAAATCATAAAGATGAGAAGCAAAAAGAAGAATTTAAGTTAATATTGAAAATGATGTGCATAATTTAGTAGGCACAATTCAGGCAAAGTTATTAACAGAACATTATAGTTCCAAAAACATGATCCAATTTCTTTGATAACTGACCCAAAAAGATCACAAATTTATTGTAATTTGAACCATACATTTGGATATTAACATATTTAGCTAAAGAATCTTCCAGTGAAATTCTTGATACACTCAAAGATAACGTTTAGTTTAGAAACCATTTCATTGTTCTCTTTTTTGCATTGCCCTTTATTCCTAGCATGAACTAAGTTAACTCTAGATTTTTATTAAAATGATTTCTTGCTACTTATGAGATGTCTGCTACGGGATTAATAACAACCAGAAGAACAAGAGATACAGTATCAAAGAGAGATAGATTTTATTAGAAAACATTCACAATGTTCATTCCAAACTTATCAAGAAGTATAAAACATGGTTCATCAACATTGAATAGACTATTAGTATTAGTGCAGAAAAGATTGAAAAAGTTATCATCATATCAGTTTATTGTCTAACACAAGTTGCAATTCACTAGACATTTACCAGTATTTAAACATAAATGATGTCCATTTTTGAAAAAGACAACAACTTTTAATAATGAACATGAAACTGGTTGACATTTTTGAATGGCAACCAATCAATATCCAAGAAGAGATGGTTAACTAGCTTAATTAATTTTTTAACCCAACAGATGAAGCATGACATGTTAGTTACCAATCTATAGATTCATTTAAAACCAAATTAAGTTGGTAAATAAATACCAGCAAAACCTAAGGATTATCATTCCTACTAAATAATGTGGACATACCTACCATATGGATTATATGAAGCTGCAGTGCAAGTGAAAATTTACACGTCTGTTGATGGCAAGAGCATGTACATATTTTACATTGTCCGTAACTTTACATACATATACACATGAATGATTATCAAACTAAGGCATGTAATGTTAACAAAGAACCAACAGTTTCTGACCGTTTGATCATAAGCATCAATTCCTTCACTATCCAGCAATAGAAGATTATATTCAGTTCCATCAATAGCGGTTCTCTTTAAAGGTGCACTCCACATCCAAAGTCCCTTGGTACATGGTCGATGAGTTGAGGCTACTTGGAATCCACAGCTCCTTCCTAATAGCTACCAAATTTCAAAGATGGAAATACATGTCAAAAGTGATATAGACAATCCAGAACATATGATTTTATGCTGTATTTATGATGGCAAAGAAACAAAAACTTAAGAAGACGCCGAAGTAAGATAACTTGACCAATCAATCTAACCAAGAAGTTATAGTGACAACATTGCAACCTGTTGTGAGAATACTCATTTTAACCTCTGAACCCTCTTGATAGAGATTGGTTTCAAGGTGTAAAAAGTTGTAAGAATACATCAAGATGATCTTTATGATATAATGTGTAGGATCTATGAAAATGAAAGCTGATGGGGCATCATCAGATAAAGCACAACAACAAATATGAGCACAAATTATGTTATCAAGTAACAATTAACAACAACGGCAAAGTCACAAGTCTCAACTATTTGTGGTCTATGGATCTTTTGCCCCCATTGAGATATCTAAAAAGCCATATATTTAGTTAAGAGTATTTAAATCTTTATTTATAGTTTCTATTAAGGTCTTTTTTGGTCTTCTTCTACCTCTTCTCGCACTACTAACGGTAATCATTTCATCTCTTCTAACTCCTGCATTTGTAGGTCTCCTAAGCACATCTTCATATTATCTTAAATGATTCTCTTTCATTTTATCGACTATAGAAGATATATTTAATTATTCATGAATAAAAATATTTGTTTTATCTTTGCTAGCAACTCCGTGCATCCACCTTAATATTTTCATCTCAGCAACACATTTTTTATATATGTTATTTATTAACTACTCAACACTCAGATCTGTAATTAATTATTGATCTATAACTATCTTATATTTTTTTCTAATCTCAAAGATACCAGATAATCACACAAGACTTCTGACATCCCTCACTATTTTAATCATCTTGTTTTTACTTTATGAATGATATCATCATTAATCTCTTTATTTTGTTGAATAATTGATCGAGATACCTAAAGTTTTTAGTTAAAGGAATATTCTCCTATCTAGTGTATTTCTAGTATTACGTAAATTGCAACTCATATATTCAATTTTAATCATGCTTAATATTAAACCTTTAGTTTCTAAAGATTATCTTCATAACATAACTTTAGAATTAAATCTATTTAGACTCTCATCAACTAAGATAATATCATCATCAAATAACATAATCCAAGGAGGTCTATCTACACGTGACACATAAGTTCATATAATATCGATGTGAAAAAGGTAAGGAATTAATGTGGATCCTTGACGAACCTCGATGTTACTAAATGAAAAAGAAATCTTATAAATTATCCTTAATATTGATATATTACAACAAACCCCTTTGACAAATCAATCCCAACATGCCGATAACAACAATCCACTTCTCTGAAACTGTTAAATTCACTAGTTCAATGATGATACCAAATGTCACTTGAATGGGTGCCAATCCTGTGCGGCAATAATTTAATTGATAAATAACTCATATATAAAGGGGGCAAGGCATTGGTAAGGATTATTTTGACTAATTCATTTTCTTGCAAAAGACTCTTTTTTTTTTTTCTATTTCTTGTACTCATTACGACTTGAGCCTCAAAGAGGGACCACCTAAATTGATTTCCTGTAATCCTTTTCCTTGGTATGGAAATTGCTTTGGAGGTTCCAGTAAAGTGGCATGCAAAACCTATAAAGTAAGGCCCTAGTTGGATCTTACAGCCCAATAAGGAAGGATAACCAAGTCTGATCTGAATTAATATCATATGTGATCTTCAAGTCTTTTTGGCATGTTTTGTGATCTCTGTGTATGGAAATATCAACTGAAAAAAGGGAAGACTCAGACCATGGTTCAGTGTGCTACCGAGTCTACACAATATCGTTAGAAAAATTCCAAGTATCATGATGTACACAACTTTGTTGCAAAATTCAAGTATCGTTACCAAAATTGAGACTACATAGAAAGTATATTTCATTCAAGATCAGAACTTCATTGCATACCGGAAATCGTTTCACCCACCCAATGATCCACAGACACCATAATCGATGATCATTAGTAGCCGATTGGCAGAACTCCTTGAAGAGTTTTTGAGTAAAAAGAAAGATAGCAAGCAGACTCCCCAGATGTCAACTACTACTAAACCCTACTCCGCAATATGAATGTATTCAGTGCAATTTTTATTTTTCACAAAAAGAAGCCTGAGCCTTGTATAATTCTCTTCGCGAGAACGAATGAGACAAATGCCCATCAACAAAATCAACTAAAACTTGAGAGGAAGCACAAGAGATCACATCCCATGACTCCACGAGAAAACGGAGAAAGTGGGGGAGAGGAACCTGATTGAGGACGAAGCTCTTGCCCTGCCGCGCGCGCCCGCAGACGGCGACGACGCCGATGGGGCCCTTGACGAGCTGAAGCGTGGCGACGGCCTCCGGGTCCATCCGGAACTTGCCGTTGTCGTCGCAGTACACCAGCCGCAGGGGCCTGGCCGGGCCGACCGATCCGGGGGTGACGCATGCGGACGCAGCATCGTAAGGGTTAGGGTTAGGATTAGGGCTAGAACGAGGGCCGGATCTGGGGGAGGTGGGGGCGTTCTTGGAAGACGGAGTCGAGGCGGAGCCCCCGCGGAATCGAAGCATTTGCATCATCTCGCTCGGCTATCACTTCCCCCTCTTCCGGAGAAGATTGCGCTCTCTTTTGGCGGACGTATATTTGGCAGCTTTTTATTGCTTGGGGAAGGGAAAGGGAGGAGGCAGAGACGGAAGTAAATGGAAAGGGAGGGAAGAGGAGCGAGTTGGACGGGCGCCAGCGGGTTTAAAACGACGGGGAGATGAGCAGAGAAGGATGGTTGAGATTTGTTTACGTGTCCGCGGAGCCGATGACAGCCGTGAATGAGTCGGTCCGGTCGAGCTGTAAAGGTTTCGTAGGAGTGTTGATAGGGGTTTAATAGTGTTTCCATGTAAATTAGTAATTTAAGTAATTAGTAAGTGATCGAATAAGTTTTAAGTAATTTATATATGTTTTCACAATCCCATCTTATAAATGCTTTTATTATTTTTAATTTTTTTTATAAATAGATATAAATATCCTCTTCTTCCTCCTCCTCCTCGGACGGACGAACAACGTCGACAACAAAATTAGAGATTGTGGAAAAATATAAAAATATAAGATGCGGGAGTTGTAAATAGTAAATTATAAGAATTATCAATAGAAGAATATTCGGGATTAAAGAAATTATTCAGAGGCATTGCAAATATCATAAATTCTCAAAAGTTCTTGAATCAGTGTATTGAACTATCACTTTCTATAGACTCAGCTTCTCATTTCTTTTTATATATCATTTATTGTTCACCACATTTACTTGAGTGATTTAAAGAAAATATATTTTTCAACTACACGAAACCAAAATATTGATGCAATCATGGTATATTATCTCATACCGTACATGTACGTTGATCCTTGATCGGATTTGTACGTATCGATCGATATTGATATAATTGATACCTTGTGTTGGTATCGATCGATATTGATATAATTGATCGGATTTGTACCAACACACTCAAAATTTGATAGAAAAATAAAAAATTAATATTTTTCTCCTAATATTTTAGTGTATAAGTTAAAATTAAATACAACTAAAATATATAGCTATAAAATGAATATTAATTCAAGGGTATAAGTATCAAAAATTAAAATTCTTATTGTACGATCAATCCTCCATGAAAGAAAGTTACTTTTGAATTACTTATAAAGAAAAAAGAGTTAAGATGTTAAAATATATATTAAAATTCTAATATTTTAGTAAAATAAACTATCGAAATAACATTAATATATACATGCTTCTACTACTAAATTGAATGACAATATTTTATAGCCAATAGATCCATCCTTTAATATTGTATGTAGATTTATCGGACCAAATCTTGAAATCACTTCCACTATAAATTATACTGGTAAATCATTGTCTCGTTATTATAAACAACAATGTGCCCTAAGAACCTTTGGTGGGTGGGTTACAGCATGAAAGAAGGAATAGGGAGAGATTTTTATAAGCTTAAAAAGGGCTCCCAATTGTCGAATCGATGATTGTGGGCTTGAAATGATCAATTTTATAGCTCGATATTGATCAAATCTAATGAGTACTGCATCATCGGTGCTTATCATCCGTTTCATATCATTTTAATTTATATTTGTGATTGATCTAACTTTAACAACAGTCACAACTCGACATTGTTTTTGTTCTTCTTTGTCGACTCTTAATGTTTATTGAAAGAACGAACCCATGTACGGAGATAGATGGTTTTTTATATATAATTTTTTTATTAAAAAAATATAAAAAGATGAATATTTTTATTAAAAAATCAAATTTTTATATTTTTCATAGAACATCTCTAGTTTTTTAAAAGCTGATATTATCCTAGTCTCCGCCCCATCGATCGTCACACCTTCATTCACTAGCTACACCTTAGTCATTGTTCGCGTACTACCAAGACATCGTTAAAGGTCCATCGCGAGGGCCCTCGCCCTTCGTCTCCACCACGACGCATGTTGTTGCTATCACTTCACTCCTCACCTCCACCTCGAATGCCTCTCGTCATGTCATCTTCGAGGAGAGTATCCTCAAACTCCAAGATTTTGAACTCATTATGTTGAAGGAGCATGCTTTTGCTGACTTGTACCCCTTGGTGTCACTCGATCAAGGGAACAAAGTAACTAAAAAAAGGAGGCATGGACGAAGCCTTGTATGGTGATCCATGTGGGGAGGAGGAGGGGAAGCCCCATTGTGATCATCTCATTTTCCTTCGCTAAGGTCGATAATTGTTATACATATGGAAGGCTCAACGACCAACATGGCAGAAGGCATGTGGGGGTAGATGTAGCACCATGGTTGTCTCCTTGCCCTCAGACTCGTCCCCCACCTCAATTCCATCAAGCAATGACAAGGCCTTGCAATAAAACAAAGATAGTTACATAGTGATGGTGGTCGATAAGACAAAGGGTCAGAGTAATATCATCTTTTACAAAATAAAGAGTATTTTACCCAAAATAATAATAATAACTTTTTTTTGAAAAAATTATCCATAATAGATCATCACCCAACACAATCATTGAATTAATATTATAATTATGTTAGCTCACAAAAGAGCCCCATTATCCTCATGCACTTATAGATTTGTTTAATTATTATTATTATTATATATTTTTATCATTCTTTTACTGGTTAATTATATATTAACCCATATAGTTAGACTTATACATATTGGTCTCTATACTTAAAAAATTTTCATTGAAATCTCGATAGTTATGAAAGTGAAACATTTAATCCATCTATCCTAACAAACAAAAAAGTAAGAGATGAGGGTCGCTTTGCATTTGCATCAACATCGACGCAGTTACCGAGTGATCATTTTGCCGCTCTACATTTGCATCAATGTTGATTTAGATGTCGAGTGGTTTTTTTATCTCTCGATAACTACGTCGACACCGATATATATGTATGTCCACATCATTTAACGATTGTATCGACATTGACGCAAATGCATAGCAACCTTCACCTTTTGCCATTACTCTTCTTATCCACAATAATCACTCAGTGGTCTTAAACGGTATCGTCATCCGCCATCATCGATGTCGTCCGTCATCCTTAATCGGAATATTAAATTTATTTTTTTATTTATTATTTTTATATTTTTATCAATAAAATCGATGGTATTAGAATAAATAAAAATAGATGCATAGTTATAATGGATTCTAATATAATTTTTAAAATTAAAAATCAAAATATTAAGAGGTCTAACTCGGCTAATATGTAAATAGCCCTGCTTTTGCTTACAGACCCACCGGGAATGAAAGCAGCTATTCTCGTCCTTACGAGGAATAGTTGTCTCAATAGGTAGTCCCGACGGGAGAAGAGGTCTTCCGTTTGCGGAGGCGACCGATCACATTCTCACCATTGAGCCGGCGTTGGCGATCTCTTCTTCTGTCTCACCTCCCGCCGCTCGGCCGCAGCCAAGCCCGTGCCCGTGCCCTCGTCCAAGCCCCTCCCCAGTCGCAACGCCGCAGCGACGCCGTCCCTGTCCTCCTCGCTCAGCTGCCGCCTCTGGACGAGTGGCAGCTTCAAGGGCGGCCAATCCCCGATGTTTTCCGCCGTCGCTGGAGGGAGGCGGAAAGGCGTCGCCTTTGAGGCGGCGGAGCCGTCTTCCCCCAAGGTCACCTGCATCGCCCAGGTGCTGGTCAAGGGCAAGAAAAAGGCCAAGGCCACGGCGTGGGGGAGCCGGAGGGTGGGGAGCTTTCGGAGGAAGGAGAACGTCGGCGGGGCGCGAGAGTGCTTCCGGATCAAATATCAGAGGTGGGTGCATCAGCTCTCGGTGAACATCTGCCAGGTGCTGAGGGCATTCGGGTACGAGTTCAATTGCTTCTCCCCTTGTGGCCCAAGGTCCCTCTGTTCCTATTCTTCGTCGAGATCACGCGAACAAGGACAAGAAGCGGTCGAGTTCCTGCGGTGCAATGTTCACGAGGTACTTGATGGAGGTTCCAGGCAGCAAAGCCGGAAACAGACGAGAGGTCATGGGCGTGGTATTCCAAGGTAAAGGGGACAGAGAGATGGGAATGGTAATCGAGGGAGGGATGAAGAGAGAACTTGGGGTTGTTGGCGGAGATGGAGAAGAGAGAAGAGGTGGTGATGATGGTGGAGAAAGTACAAGAGGAGGAAGCGACGGTCAGCGTATGCATTCCCCCGAGGAACGCTCTGCTGCTAACGAGGCGCAGATCTGATCCAGCCAGAATGGCGGCACTGGCAAGCCGTTTCCGGGATTCGCCCGCCATGCAAGTGCGCGGCGAGGAGGAGGAAGATAATGGTGATGAGAACAGAGATCATCATGGAGAGTATAACGAGGAAGAGGAAGGAGAAGAGACGGGTAAAGAGGCCACTGAAACCGAGCAAGTGTATCAAGAAGATAGAGGAGTGGAGAAATGCTTTCAATCAGCGGTTTTGACAGAAGAACTGATGAAAGCATATCATGTAAAAGAGGCAGAGGAAGAGGAGGTGCAGCTAAGTCCAGATGAAGAGGAGAAAAACATGGACGAGGACCTAACAGGTGCTGCGGCTGAGCTTGTTGAAGTGAATGAAAACACAGGAGGCGATAAAAAAGAGCACGAAATAGCAGCTGCTGAAGCAAAGAATGCTCAGCTGGAAGAAAAGCTAGAGGAGCAAGAGATGGCAAATGATACTCATCTCGAGAATAGATAAGATGAGAAGGAAGAGGAAGTAGGAAGGGTATCTAGCATCTGCTCAACTGCTACAGACAAGGGGGAGAGGAGATAAGATAGATACGTCTCCAGACCAAAGGAGGCAGGTGGGAGGTGCAGCTCTGCTTCGAGAGAAAGGGGTAGGCAGCGGCATATCTTCTCCACAGAGTGGGAGGTGGGGAGACCATGCTGGGGCAGTGAGAAGGAAACAAGAAGAGCTAGCTTCTCCACAGGAGGGAAGCGGAGATGGAGCTTCTCCATCGAGAAGGATGGTCTGAGATTGCTAAAGAAAGAAATCAATGAAGAAAACAATAGCAAAGAAGATTGCTTTGTGGAGGAGACTGGACCAAAAGACACCATTGAGGCTCAAAACTCACATAGCATGGATAAAAAGGAAGTTAAAGAAGAGGATGATGGTGACAGGGAACATGACCAACTAGAATGCGAAACACCAGAAAACGGGGAAGTGAAAAGCACAGAGTTGCCTGACTGCCTTCTTTTGATGATGTATGAGGCTATGAGCCTAATCTGTTAACCGAGATGTCGGAAGACACTTCGGTCTGTGGCACTGACTTCCTTCGGTCACGTCTCCACCACCCTAATAACCAGCCTCATCACTCTTCTAAGTCCACTGTCAGTGTTGCAGCCACCACCACCACTAGCACTGATAAAAACAGTGAGAAAAAGGAAGTCGTTGCTCCCATCCAAGAGGCACCCCAGCCTACACCACTTCTGGCATCAGTTTTATCCACTGCATTAGATACAGAGAAGAAGCGGAGAGGCAATGTTGCTGTGAGGCCAACACCAGCGCCAACTCTGGCATATGGTCCACTTGTGCTAACATGGTGCAATTCAGAACCAATGAGGTTATCAGTGAGGCTGATGCCGGATACTTGCTTTTGGAAGGACAGACATCAACCCATTGGGGCTGCTGGGATTGGAATTCTGAGCTGATGCCAACCAATTTAAATGATTTTGTTCAGCTCTCAGACAAGGTAAGAACATTGTGTTGAATTCTGTGTGAAATATTGATAAGCCTTTTTGTGTTATTGATGTTATGTAGCCTCTGCAACGAAAATAGCAACCATGGTCTGCTATCTCAATGGAAATCTTGTGTAGCAACCACGGATGTTACTGTTTTTGTTTTTATGTGGAATCTTGGAGCATATCATGTTGTTAGTCTCATGCCAGGAACAATGCATGAAATTTGAAAGGAATGTTTAGCAAACTAGCAAAACACATTCTTGTATCTTATATATTTTGAATGATAGAACTAAAATATAAAATTTGTACTAAAATTCAGAGAAAATTTAGAATGTGTTTATCGACTCCTAAGCAGTTGCCTGATTGTGTTTGGCTATTTTTAAAACCAATTGCTCAGTAGCTTGCAGTTCCACATTTTCTAGGTCATATATATGGTTGGCAAGTTCTTCCTGATAGGCAAGTTCTTCAAACAGTGTGTGGATATAGGCTCATATATGGTTTGTGATTGTGAAGTTATTGAAGCTTTTCGACAACAATAAATTGTGTGTTGTGCATCGTTATTTAAGCTTGGTTCAGATCCAGGTTTATATTCTAGGACAGATACTAAAAGGAACTATATTCCAAAATAGTCATCCAGAATTATCATGTAATATTATCATATTTAGATAGTCATTCTATTTGTCCAATATTGTCATGCAATATTTTTGTATATGTGACCTTCATTAATTAAACGATTCTGCAAACTACTCTACATAAAAGCTTATGTTTGTCTGAGCTTGGTTCAAGACATGTAATCATTTAGCTTTAGGGAACATAACAACATTAGGTAAAGAAGAGAAGTGAATTCTGTATGCATTGATTTTTATGATTCTAATGGTGTAAGCTCATGCACTTTTGAATTTTTTCCAGGGCTTGCTCTTCCCCTCTGTGCTCTGTGTCCACCAGATATATCCAAGGTTCGAGTTGAGAAGCTAAAACCATACGGTAAAGAAACACTTTGAAATACTATAGATTTTCTTGGTGTCAAATTTGTTATAAAACCCGATCCGACTACAGATGCTGTCATACTGAACTGTGTCAGATGCATCTTGAGCAGCAGTTAACATTGAGAAATTGAATATTTTTGAGCTGTGTTAGGTTGTTTCCCAACATGCAGTCATCTCATTTCGTCGATCTCCTCTTTCCTGTTTTTGTATTCTGATAATACTTGGATTTGAGGATCTAGATACTATTGGTTTACTGAGGCTTGATTTGTCAATTGGTGAAAAGAAAACAGAGGTTTCATGAGAACTTGAATAGTGGTGGGAAAGAACCATCACTGATTCCTGGAGTCTGATCTTTTTGACATGATACATTTGTTTCTTTTCCTATGCTTCATTTAACATTTCGATCTTGAAGTCACTTAGAAGAAAAGTGATATGGAAATGATAGGAAATTCTCATCACCATGTGTAAGATTTCATCACATACCTTATAAGATTTGTTTGTTTAATTAAGCTGTTCCTGTGATTGTATTTTTCTGGATCATCTGTGGCAGCCCTGGGTGTTCTTTTTTCCTTCTTCCTTTTTTGTTTTTTGGCTTGCCGATGGAGATATGTTGAATTCTCTTTCTTATTACAGGAATCACCGATTTGTGCATCGGTTAGCCGATAATTTTAGATTCAGAAGTCGTCGGGATGCTCATGCGATAAATATTAGGTTGATCCACGACTTAACAAGCTTAAGATTTTGTATTAAATTAATGTTCATGTATCGTCAAATGATATATATTATGTCAAAGAATATCTAGGATGAGTTCATGTACTATTTTCGTCAAGCACTATTTCATATAAAATATTTGAAATTTTAATTCAATTAAACTGAAAAAAAAGAAATTATCAGATCTATCAAACATTCTCCCTCCTTAATCATATCCACCAAAGAATGAATCCCTTCATAGTCAATGACCCAAATTGACTAACTGACTAGCTAATTATACTGTATCTAACAAGATGCATTGGGTATGGAGGGATGAACTCTCCTACAAACCCAATGTTTTTGTTAGGTTAGGACACTATGGCGTTCTTGTACTTTCGCCCCTTGTTGGATTTGCTTCTTTAATGCAATTCATGCCTTCTATTATCGTAGTAAAATACTAAATTATACTATACATGCACGTATTGACCGGGTGTGATCAACTTGTTCATGCATGTAATCGATCAATACGGGAAGAAGAAGAAGAAGAAGAAGCAAAAAGATTCGGCATGTCCCACAGCATGTAATCGATCCCTTTAATGGATACCCGCTAAAGTTCGTTTGCTGATCAAAGCTACGTTACATGCATCTGTACCACCGTCGCTGCTGCTCCACCAGAGGCTTCTCTCCTCCTCCCCATCTCTTTTTAGTTCCCTCTCTCTCTCTCTCTCTCTCGCTGTCCACCAAGATGTGATCATGATCGGCATGGCCGCAGAGGAGAAAGCATTTGGGTCTGCCACTGCTGCAACCACAGATGGGAAGGCGGTGGTGGAGTCGCCGATGGATCTTTTAGATGAGTACTGGTTCTTCCACAATCCACTCAAAGGCAGAAGACCACCACCAAGAACCCTTCCAAGGCCTCCCTGCACTCCAACCACGGCCAAGGAAGAAGCTGGTGCCACTGAAATTGCTCGCAAGCTGCTCCGACCTCCATCGACGCCGTCGCATCGAGCTCGAAAGAAGGAACCGGACGGCAAGAGATCACGCAGGAGGTTCATCCAAGGGAGGAGGAAGTGGAGAAGCTACAGCGAAATGGAGGCATTCGAGGTCCAAGGATTCAGGGACTTGGGCTTCGTCTTCGTCGAGGAAGGACCGAGCGCGAGGCTCGCAGACGTGGTTCGCTGCCTGCGAGACAAGAGGCCGATATCTGGCGACGGCGGAGGGTGTCGAGCGTATCTGTCGGAAGCGTGGTTGATAGAGAGAACTGCACCTCCAAAGCTTGCGTGGGAGGAGAGGAGATCGGCCGCAGACGCGAAGGAGCAGCTCAGGTTGTGGGCGAGGACGGTGGCTCGCAATGTGATGCTAATGTAAGCAAAATAACATTCTAGCCATAGTCTCAAAGAGTAAGCCTCTTCTTCTTACACACTACGATTAGCATTAAATATGATCACCATACATTGGCGCAGCGCACATGACATGATCGATTGATGATAACATCCCCCATATTTTGTTTCGAAATGGAGTATTACAACTCGTAACCTCCAGGAACAGATCTGATGGCGTATAAATATACCGTTCTGCTTTGTTGAGTACTGCGTACTTCTGTATCTTTCACGACTGCAGCGCGATTTATGTCACGACATGAGAGTCTTGTGGGACACACTGCCTCACCCGGCATCTGTCTCACGGGAGCCCTTCTCAAGATGTGTGAGAGAGACGGAGATAGGGTTTTCCCGTCCCGGCCGGCGTCGCTCCGCAGCCAGCTCGAGGGGCAAAACCACCCAAATGTCGGGAGAGAATCCACTCGTTCCCCTCCTCGTATTGGCCTGATTCCTCCGGAATTCTCCAAGGGCTCGGCTGGGCCGCCTTGAGTGCGGAGAGGAAGGATGATCTTGCCGGTGGTGAAGCTTGGGACGTTGCTTCTGAAGACGGTCTGCAAGCCCATCGCCAACCGGCTCAAGAAGGAGGCCGGCCTCCATCCAAAGTTCCGCCAGCTGATCATTAATCTAGCTCAGGTCTTCAAGTTTCCATTTCCCTGAGTTTGAATCCTCTTTTAGAAACACTCAGCATCAGGTCCGATTAGGGCGATGAGATCTTATTATGACCAAAACCCTTTATTTATCTACCTAGTGATCAAAATTTGTGATCTTTCATATGCTTAGAAATTGGCTTTTTGATAAAGCTACTATCTGACTCCTCATTAAAATGTGTTGTGGGTAACTTGGTGGATCGATGCATACCATAATCGGAGAAATTCTTTAATCTGGTTGCTGGTGGCTTCAAAGCACTACTGAAGTTGGTAACTTTTTAGAGACTATGCCAATGGCTCTGTATTTGACCTCATTTTTGGCCACTTAGAACTTGATGTTATCCTTTTATAGGATTTGTAGTCACAAATTGTGGTACAACCTGGTAATTACTAGTTAAAATAGCATGGAAAACCCATTTCTGGAGGATGGATCAATGTGACTTGTCTTTGTGCTGTATGACAATATTGCTAAATTTCATGATCTTCTTATAACTTGTAGGTTTCACATTTATTTTAAGTTCAATGAATAGTGAAGTACTGAAGTAATTAACAATGTAGACAAACCCAGGTAGTTGAGACATTATGGTTTTTGGTTGTGAAGTACTTGACGAATGGAATAAATATTATTACGAGTTGCTTAAATATACACCTCAATCCTTGAAATTCAAAAATTTTCATGACAAATAAATATGAATTTCTAGTTGACTCATTAAAAGGGACTTCTTTAGTTGAATCAGTTATGTCATTTCTTTATAGAGAGATCCAGTTTAAGAGATAGTGTAAATAATACATTTAAGTGATGGCTTTTGTTAACTACACACCGCTAGTTAGAGGATTTATAATTATGGTTCTCATACGATGATGAGAGATCTGAGCCACCATTTGTATAATAAACTTGAACTTGAATGAGGGCAAAGTATTCTTAAAGGAAATTCGTTTGGCAGTTATAAAAGTGTTCTCAAAGAAATTGGAGGTGGTTATAAAATTAGCTTTGAAGTTACCTTTCCTCTATAAAGTAATGTCAATTAATTATAAATTTTATTCTTATTTTCTTAGTAACGAAAAAACTGGCCCAGTTGACTTTGGCTTTTTACAGTTAAAAGCAAATTTTACATTTTTAAAGTAATTATGCTTTTGGCATTATTGGTAATTATTACACCGACAGGAAATCTGTACTTAAGTAGAAAAGAAAATAAGTGCTTTACTTAGAAGATCAACAACATTTTACGACACTGGTTAAATGTAGCAGTTTCTTTATTCTAAAGCATTGCAGAATCATGATAGCCCAGTCATATACTTGAATCATTTTCTCATGAAGTATCCAAGCTGATATCATTGTTCTGACAATTATTCTGTACAATCCATAGTAAACCTACCCGTTTCACTTTATTTATCCTGCAGCCTTAAGTTATATGTGAATTACGTATTCTTCTTTTTATCTTTCATGACACATTTGATATATATTCTGATTAGTATAGAAATGGTTCCTTGGTTTGCAACCATTTATTTATATTTTCATAAAAATCCTCCAAAAAATAGTTTAGCTTTGAAAATATTGTGGTTAGTAGCATAACAACGTGGTTACTGCATAATGTATCTGTAACAGGCCAACCATCGCATCACAACAAACATACAAAGACGAATTTATGGTCATTCAACCAACGTTGAGATCCGACCCTTAAACGAGGAAAAAGCTGTTCAAGCTGCTGCGGACCTTATTGGAGAACTCTTCGTCTTCTCAGTACGTCCCATGAATATATTATATAGTTAAACCACAAGCAAATTTAATATTTTGAACTGAAGCTGATAATTACTTGTGCCAGCAATCGATGGAAACTGTTTTATGAATTGGTGATTGCAAGTTTGCCTTGTGTACTGTTTATGTGTCGATCCTTTTAAGGATAACTAATGCATTTTTATTTTGTGAAGATTCTGTTTTCTGATAGATAAGAGGAAAATTTGCATTTTTATTTTGTTTGACTATGCCTTGGCCTCTTTGGACCGGTAGGTTGCCGGAGCTGGTTTGATATTTGAGGTGCAAAGAAGCGCAAGATCAGAAGCTAGAAAGGAGGAAATCCGCAGGCAGGAAATTGAGGTAATAACTGAAATTTTCATTCGCAAGTATGTTTTCTTTTCTACATTGTTAAATTATTTCCTTTTCTTCTTATTTTGGAACTTCTGTTGCATTTAGAAAATCTACATGGACCTGAAAGATAATTGGGGTTGATATAAGCTACAAAACAACTGCAATTCATTAAGAGAAGTTCTTTTCTCTTTTTTGGCTTTTCCAATCCTGTGCTCCTTGTAAGAATCCATAAATAGGTCAAAGAACATGCTTCAGATAAGTCTTCTGGCATGTGACTCGAGTCAACTGCAAGAAACACACATTTCTGTTTTGGTTATTGATGCATGTTTCTCTTGCTCAAGATGTTCTAATCATTAAATTATCAATGCAGTGTTGCAGCCTTATAATTTACTTTAAGCCGTCTTCTGTTATCTAACGAAAATGTGTTTTTCTGTTCTTGAAGGCTATGAAACAGAAAGAGGAAGAGCTAGTGAGAGAAGTAGAACAACTCAAGCTGAAGATCAGCGAGATCGAACGGCTTGCCAAGGGACGAGGCCTTTCAGGTATTCTCAACTTCAGGCATGCTCACGCACTCGAAGGCGTCAAATCATCCGAATGACTCGAGAAGATTCCTGTGCTGGCGCTAAACCGGGTGTTGATGCTTCCATTGGAGAGGTAGGGCATCTTGTGTAAGTGGTTGGATTGTAGGAAGGTCATGTTCTATAGTCACTCTTCGCCGGTGAAACACATCCAAGCCAATGTACAGTGTCACGAAGCTTTATTTCTCTACTGGAGTTGCAAATAAAGAAAAAAATTATTAAATAATTATTAATGTAATCTTGAAGATTAATAGATCTATTGTCAAAGATTTAGTTGATTTTACTTGAGTTGTGTTATCCTCTTTACATCTATGTTCGTGATCAACTTTTTATGATTTGACGAATTAGAGAAATTTTTTAATTCAGGATCTCATAATTAGTCATTTTAATAAACAATAGATAGATAATATAAATTATAAATTTAAATTTCGTAAGCTTTAAATAGTCGCATAATAAAGGGTCCAAGTAGTTCATTGTGGTTAAGAGTTTTTACGAGTATTCACATGATATTGCTATGGAATAAGATAACGAATCAGTCCTAGATACTATCCAAAATGCCCATCTTGTTATGTGCCATCCGGGTAACTCTTGGATGTTATGTTGATTGACACTTTGTACCACTTTATAGAGCTAGAAAACATCAAAAATAATTGCCTGGATGACTTATTTTTGGGTTATTATCTTTGCGTAATGATTATACACAACCTACATTTACAAGCATAAAACAATAACAAAAGCCAATCAAAATGAGGCTGTCAAGCTTACTGCAAGCCTTCTACATGTTGTGCAAAGCATGAACAAAACTAAGAAGCAAAGCATGAACAAAACTAAGAGACATGAGCATTACATTGAACACCCTATTTACAACTTTGTCAATGATATTTTCTCTTATTCTTTCGACGTTCTTGTCGAAGCCTTTGCGGATGCTGCATCTCCTTGCTTTTGTTAAATCTTCACTCTTCTGCTCTGATTACAATGTGCCTCTTGGCTCTCAACTACTCTTTGTCATTGTTGTTGAATAATCGGATATGTCATGCTACTTCAACTCGCCAATGATTGGCTTTTGTGTGAGGTCAATCGAGTTGTGATAATCTTTATTGGTTTCCACGGATCCTTCAAATGAAGAAAGAGACATTCCTTGTTATGCGCTAGTCTTTCAAACGTCTTGCATCACTTGAACTGGTTGGATGCCTATGGAGCTTTAACAAGCATCACCTTCCCAACTTTGAAGTTTTTCATGTCTTTCCTCCACAAAATTTACCTATCGATTCCTCTTCTATTTAATTATCACCTCTAAGTAGGTTTGCATCACTTTTGCTTTCAATTGATATTCTGTTGGGAAATGAAGTAAACAATCTACTCTTAGTAGAATTGATCACTATTGGTGAGAATTTGACAATTGTTGTCTTCCACTTTCTTCGAAAGGTCTTTGAATATGTGCAAAGCTATTTTACTATTGTCTTCCACTTTTTTCATGCATAGCCTCTAAGATTATGTTGTAGAGCTCATTATGTTCTCCTTTACATCATTGGTAACAATATTTACTTGATCTTATTCTTTGACTTGTCGAGCTCCTTTAAATGAATATTAGCTATGAAATAGTCCAACTCTTCAACTGTACTGATTATACCTCTATATAATTATATCTCCCCCATGAGGCTCATTAGTATTTGCACTCAAAATTTTTCCTCTATGGCACATAAACTCATATGTTGATGATCAAGTCTTGCATCCGATACAAAATTTGATACATACAAAGAAGACCAACCTCTATAATATTATAACATTCACTCATTGAATCTGTAGACCTTCATGTCGTCATGTTGTTAACTGAAGTTGAGCTCTCGATAGCTCCTGATTATACCTCCGTATGATCAAGTCCCTCATGGGATTTCTCCTCTGCATGTCGGATTGCCTCATACTATTCCACCATGATTCGCTGCACTATATTGTCTCCTGATGATATCTCCATTTGATCTTTGTGGGATGAACTCGGACTATGATCTCATCATGAGTAACCTTTGCCAACACATCATAGGGCCTCTCCTACCTCCGATTATGTTCGCTTCTTTGGTAATTGATCTTTATTAACTCGCTCTTGGGTCACATCCGGATGAAGCGTAGCTCTAGAATAGTTTATCGTAAAGTAACCATCGATGTCCATCAACTTTGCTGATATTGGTGCATCATTGTCTGGATCCTGGGTCCCTACCCTTACATAATCTCCATTGCACACCGCTTTCTTCGCGGTAACTTGAATGACAACATTGTGACATATGCTTCAAGGGTATTCGCCTTCGCATCCTCTTTGTCCCATGCCAAGGCCTTCTGACCCTAACTTCACCTCCGCAAATTGAGTCATCTTAGTTCCTTCATTAAATACTTCGTCGAGATAATGTGTATATGTCTCAAAGCTCCTTTTAACTTTGGCACCATGCAGGATGAGTCCGCTCCATCAGAATGATATGGAATGATATAATCCCGCTCTTGCTTCTACAAGAGTTCATATAACCTCTATCCAAGGTAAGTTATATGCCTCCACTCTAAGTTTCATCTTCTATGTTGACTCCCTTCATATGACTTAGGCACTTCACCAAGTTCCACCCAAGTTGCTCCGCTCCTCGATTTGCATTGAGTTGATAGTAGCACATACGCTCACCATTCCATGGGTCATTCCTCCATTAAATCAGATCTCCACATTGACTCTAAGTGTACATTTATTTGGTATTACCTTAGGTCATTCCCTTACTTGATCTCGCAATGTATTTACTAACACATTACCTTATGCGAGATCATACAACAACTCGCTTGGTTCATTGAGCTTTGTGGAGTTGTTGTCTTGAGGTATCCCTCCTCAACATGTATGGTCCGTTATACATGATTCTTCCTCTAAAGAATCGAGACTTATCCCTCCTAAAAATCTACCCATCAGAGCAACTTTTCTCTTCATATTCTTTCCTTTGAAAGTTTTGAAGACCACCATCACCTTAGACTACCTCATACTATTGAACAAATTATGCATTGTTCTACCACTGCAAATGCACTTGCTAGATTATAGCTCTTCGTCAATACAACCCTCCACTGCACCCCTCAAGGTCTAGTAATATGTCGAACTTATTGCACACTTCAACCTTCTACGGGTATCTCCTTCACATGCTGAAGAGATGATGCCAAGTTTCAATCGCCTTAGGATGGACATAGATAATCCATCGTCTGTATATAAGTCCTTGCATCAATATCGAATTCTTCGAGCTAGCAATTTTCTTCACCTCTATGAACTTTGTACAACTCTTTCATCACCAAGCAATCTATCCCTCCTAACACCGTTTCATCCTTTGCTAAGCGCTCCGCTTGTCTTGAGCACCATCAAGTTTTGTTGTCAACGTTGAGCCATAGCTCGAACTCAGCTATGCCAACCTTTATGTGCTACGTGTTCTTCTCATCTCACTTATTCTCGTGGTATCTCTCATACGAAGGGTTGGTCATTTCTTTGAATGTCAATCTCATATGCTGGTTCTTCTGAGTAACTCCTTTCTCTACATCTCAACGCACATTTCTCTTAAACAGCCGTGTATGCTAGATGCCCTCAACACAACCCTTAGGTCTCTTATGTTTGCATGTCAAGTATTTCTAAGTGTGCTTATTCCGCTTTGATACCATCTATCATGGACCTAGCTGGTTTTGTCTAAATTGTGTGACACTCTTACGTGTCCCGCCACATAGAGTCAACCTCCCTGAAACCTCTTATAATCCCTTAAGGATTTGCAAAAGAGAAGACGGATTAGATGAAGCATTTAAATTTAAGATCCATCATTTCAACAAACACTTGATAGACAATACAAATTATAAACTTAGACTTCACAAGCTCTAAATAATCGTGTGACAAGAGGTCCAAGGTGGTCCATCGTGATCAGAAGTCCTCACAAGTGCTCATATGACATTGTTACGAAACAAGACAGCGAACCAACCCTAGAAGGTAAAAAGACCCATCCAACCATGTGCCACCCATGTAACTCTTGGGTGTTATGCTGACTAACAATCCCCACCTCTCTACGAAGCTAAAAAGCTCCTAAAATAATTATCGTTTGTTTCTAGACAATTTTATCTAAGCTTGAAATAATTATAAAAATCAATCAAAATATCACTATATAAAATATAAACAAAATAAAAAGATACGAATATACATAAATATTACTGAAATGTAATAGAACTGAAAAAAATAAATTCATATTATTATCTCGAGCATGTCTACTCTATGATAGTTGTCTCCGCCAAACATATTATATGTATTTTTATAATTCTTAACATAATGCATTATTATATTTTTAGCTTTCATAAAAAAATTAAATTAGTAAGGTTGGATCAGTTGAAATCAAGACTTGACCGAGTCAATATCCAAGCTGATTATGATAACTATCTCGACATCCCCTTTTTTATATTGGTTAAAGTAGAGAGGACTAAGACCTTATCCCAAAACACACCTTGAATTACCTACTCTGAAAACCTTGTGGAAGAACCCAATCCACAATAACTCTTTCCCATAGGAAGTATGAACATTCAAACAAATAAGACCACTACAGCTTAAAATACAAGGAACCAGTGATTTATTGAGGAACCATGACATATTACAAGTACATCCACAACACCAACTAATATTTTTGCTAGAGTCAAGGTATAGAGACAGGAAAGAATGCATATACACAATAATCACACCATTTATCACCACACATCAGCTCCCTTGGTTGCACCAACAGTAGCAGCAATTGCAGCAAGGATGGCCTGCTCATAGAATAACATTACAATCCTCATGAGAAAATATCGCCTTGAATTAAATCTATTCACGGACACATGAGGTGGTCAAAAGTAAGTTCTAAGATGCTGTTCACTACTAAAATGTATCCTCAACTGAATTTGTAGAAGTTAGAATCTAGTTTAACCTCATAACATTATAAAGTGTCATGATTATTCTTCAATATGCACACAAATGTAACGAAAAGAGTGTGTATATTCTTATGTTTTAAGACCAACACCACTGCCTTAAGGAGTCATCTATTAAAACCATGGTTCAACAGATAAGAGGCATGAAATAGTCTCTGTCAGACCAATCCTGTGTCAAACTCATGCCAAGGTAAGCAGCACAAAATAATTATAAGAAGCAAATAATATGGTAGTGTTTGGACAAAATCCCGTTCTCATTCAATGCAGGTTTCATATCTAGAGGCCAGCAGCACACAATAATTAGAAAAACTGTATGGCCAACGGTAAGGACAAAATCCTGTTCAAATTCATCACCAAGATATAAAATTACTGATACTTGATAGATTTAATCATTGGTCCAAAATACTTATGCCCGAGTTAATATTAGAAGAGCGAGACTAAATTGAGGTGTCACGAAGTCTTTTTAACCCAAAATGTATGGAAAGGATTGACCCAATGTGAATGAGAGAAAAATAATCACCAAAGGGCCAGGTAGTGATGGTGTTGTGAGAGGAATGAGTGTTTGAATCTAATCTCCATATTTTTTGTATGAGATTTTGTGAAGTCTTCATAATTAAGTTAGATAGTTTTTTTACTAAAGATGAGTACCATGATGCCCTTGTTTCAAAATACTGGTATAGATTTAATCTGCACAAATAACAAATACAATTTTGAACTTTAAATGCAACTAGGAAAATATCAATTTGGAATTACTAAGCAACGGTTAGTATATCATTGCAGCTAGGTATGTTGTTCACAGTCAATGACAAGTAAAGTTTAGCTGAATTTGAAGGAAACAAAAATCAAAATGATGAAACAAAAATGAGTTCACAATGAATACAAATTTTAAAAAAATCACTTACTGCAATTGTGCAAGCAACTAGCCCTGGCTTCTCTCGGTAGTCTACTCTAACACAAAGTAGAATAAAAGCTCCAACATACCATGGAATGGCAGGTAGAAAGAAACCAACTATGAACCTTCCAGAAATGAAAAAAACATGTCATTAGCCTTCCAAACGTACTAAGAAATGACAAAAAAATATTTCAAAGATTAAAAAACAAGGTAGGTATAGATGCACACATATAAGTATGCACACACAAACACACACATTATACATATGTATGTATATATGTATGTATATATGTATATACATACATATACATATATATATATATACATACATATACATATATATATATACATACATATACATATATATATATATATATATAGGCTTTCAAGCCTGTTGCCTCAAAAGTCAAATCATGATGGCTTCAAATTATATATCCTCTCCACCGAACAATGAGCATAATCTGTGATTTATAAAAAACCTATAAATAAAAAGATCATACTTTTTAAATCATTCTAACTTGTGCTTCAAGTTGACAAAATGATTAGTAGTGATAACAGAACATATTTTGATTTGATCAACAGTTTAGACGTATCAATCATTTGGTTCATTAATTGAGATTGTCAGGGTCATACTTCCATGCATGAATATATTTTCACACCATTTATTTCTTGTTAATCTAATGAACATTGAACATCATAGATTATGTTGATTGAAGTCAATTAAATTTGGAGTCTTCATTATTTATATAAAGTTGATACAATTGAGGCCTTAATCCTCCCAATATAATTTTAGCTTAACTTTACTTATGTATACAAGTATATGATATATTATACACCTCAATCCTCCTGAGGATGGTGTGTCCAATTCACTTACCTTAAGTTAGGGGTTTGAAATCTCATTGTACAAATTTTAATATATAAAATATTAGTTTGATGGTATACCTAATTCACTTATATTATATTAAGGGTATTCAAACATCATTCTATATATTTTTTATATCTAAAATATTATTGTTGATGATGATGGGTCAGACGCATTTACCTAAATTCAAAATCTCAACCTATAATTTTTTTTTAAGATGTCAGCTAGTTAGCTAATAAGAATCTTAAGGTCTTGGATTAAATCTCGCTTTCATCACTAACCACTTGGAAAGAAATTGCTACACCTATATACATATACACATAAAACATAAAGATTTGATGTAGATATATATTACAGACGTATTGAGAAAGTAAATGTAAGATTCACATACAAAAGCCAACCGATGCCCAAGCCACAACAAGCGAGACGTGGCTGTCTCAATGGTGTTCCTTCAACAACTTCAATAACAGGTGCATAACCTTAAAAATGATCAATAAGTCAGGAAACAATAGATACATCAGCGCATGCAGAATAACAGAATACCATAAATCATCTAAGTTTATACTAGTGATGCAAAAGCTTTCAGTGAATATAATAAAAAAAAATTCCTTTTCAAAATATATCAATGCAACCATAAAAATTCATGGTGAACAATAATAGATAACTTGTCTAAACCATGAACAGAATTTACAAGCGAACAGGATTGAACATCAATTTTGATCTTTGTGCTTTCAGTCAGTCAAATGCATTGAGAGAAGGTGAATAAACTATCAGGCAAAAGGTACTCGGAAATAAACAACTGGAACATGACAAAGTTACATCAAAATCTTGCAGAACACCTTTAGCAAATTAAGGAACACACCATTGAAAACTAAAGGATGCTAATGGCAAACAGGAAGGACCTGAAACATCTAAATTTTGATAAGTATATTTTGGATAGTGTCAAGTAGTTATCTCATGCTGAAACAGTCAGATTCTCACCTAATTCTCACAAAGCCAATAAACTGTACCTGGACTTTTTTCTGCCAGTTATTCCATTAAGTGTAAGGGAAAGCAATAGTTTTGTGCACAGAGCAGAAATTATGGAGGATTACAACCAAATAATATTGATAAAGAATTTGTTCAAGAAGTAATTTTTTAAATGATAAGAATAGCAATGAACATGAAAATCACAATCATATTTTGGTCTTTGACACTTCAAAAGAAGATAGGATCTTCCCTTCATAACCTTATTGTTTTTTGCTCTGAAGTTTTTGCAACTTTTGTCATATTTCACCTAAATCCCACAAAGTTCTGTCTCCCCATCCCTTTGACCTGGTTTTCCTCTCTGTCATGTGTGACAAATTCTTCTACTTTGAAACAGACACAAATTCTTTACTAGCATTTACCAAAGGCCAACTTGATCCAGATGTGGTGGATCAACAGCATCCCATGGCTAATCAACACAAGGTTCACTATCTCCTGGTAAAATGTCAGTTCTTTAGTGATAACCATGTCAAAGAAAAGTTGGGCAGGATGTACAATTTTTTTATGCTTCCTATCCTGAAAGGTAATATAGATCATGGTTTGCAGTACCGATCCGTACCGCCCGGTACGGGCGGTACGTACCGGTCCGCCAGACTTTCGGTACGCGTTCTGACACTGTAGTAGTACTGTAGCAGTACTGTATAAAAACCCACCTTTTGAAGATCTCTTGCTTCTCTTCAGGATCAAACATCAATTGCAACGATTCGATAGATGGCTCATTGGGATAGATGTACATAAACAATCCCACCCACCCCACCCCCCACAAAAAGAAATGTATAGGAGGTTTTTCTACTCATATGGCTCGAGCGTGAGTAAAAATGATTTTAATTTCGGTACATCTTTCTGTATATAATATCAAATAGTGGTAAGCATTTTAAGAACAGGAAACATCTTACTGTAAAAGATGTGAAGTTAGGCTGCATCCTATCATGAAAGGTTAACAAAGAAGAAGAATCGATCAAATGATCTGAGTTTGTGGATTATAATTTTGATATTGAATTAAGATATCTACAGTGATCAAGCGTCGTCAATTTGATCAACCGTAAAAATGGCTCTGTCCTCCACTCTGCTGCACACAAAATCTGCATTAAGATTAGAGTAATGGACAGCAAGGAATCAACAAAGAAGCCGCTCTCAGTGCATCTGTTTATCTACGTACAAAGATCTTGCCTATCAAAGCACCAAAATCTCTGCATGAAGAACACAAAGGAAGCAGTCAGATCCGAGTTGATCCCATCAAGCTGAAGACATGTTGCCCCAGTTTCGATTAAATTAAGCTCTATATTATCTTTAAACCCTCTCCCCCGCTATAAATTCCGACGATCATTTCGAAAATGACTTCTAACAGACTTATAATCCATCTATATTCCAAGAAATTCTTGTCCTTAAAAGAAAGGAAGTACTCATAAACGAGCAAATTAGGCATGAAATAGAGAAGACATCGAGGCATATCGACTGCCAAGGAGATTCACGCAAAAGAAGCATTTTTCGCAGGCGATAAGGCGGACCGAGGGCGTACCCGGGACAGCGTGGTAGCCGCGGGCGTAATAGGCAGGACCAGACTGCTGAGGCGGAGGGAAAGGGTGCGCAGCGGTGTGGCCCGGGGGAGGCACCGGCTGGGGGAAGCCGATGGCGGGCTGGGCGTAGCTGGGGGCGCCCTGGAAGGTGCCGTATTGCTGCGGTCCCCCTTTGCTCTTGCCTTCCTCCTCGCTCATCCTTCTTCCTCTTCCCCTGGTTCTCCTCTTCCTCGTTGGCTGCTGCTGCTGCTTCGTTCTTCTTTCTCCCCGATCTGATTTAGATTTGCCTGCGTCGCCGTTTGATCCGGTGAATGGGATTCCATTTTGACCTGCATTCTTAAATGAGCCATGCAACTTCCACCAGTCTTTCCACGACCTGTTCGATACCCGCCTTTTATTGGAGTTAAACAAGGAACTTTGGCGGGACCCACTCGAGGAGCCGTTTCCCACTCCACCAATGAGGCAGGTAAGTTTTGCAGGTACGAGGACGCATGTACGTATAGTGTTATTGTTTTTTCTCTCGATGGAAATCTCGCTATTGCGCCAATGGCAGCTGAAATGAGCTATACATTCCTCAGCCCGCTGTTTTCCCCGCTTGAACTTACCCGGGCTATCTTTGGACACTTCCGTGGGACCCAAAGTACGATCATCTCGACTCGTGGTATTCGCTAAGGCTCGTACGTGCACCGCCTTGATTATTGTGGGACCCGCACAAATCAGAGTGGACTTTGTTGGCATATTAAATTAAATACTATGATTGTTGGGAATTAATTTTAATATAGTTTGTTTTCGAAGAATAATAAGACAGCGGAAAAATGATATGAATTTTATTCTTTTGAATAATAAAATGTCACAGAAAAGAACTAATTCGATTTTTTTAATCATGCAATAATAATGTTTTCTTTATCCACGACAAAGTTATTATGCTTAAGAAGAACATTATTCTTCCATGAACGTAGAAAGATCACATTAGTTCTCCAATAACTATTGCATGAAAGAGAAATAATTGTTAATATAATTAGTTCACCTTCTTGTCCTTCTTTCATATGAATATTGTTCATGATATCATTGAGAAACACTAACAAACTCTCTGTTTTAACACACAGTGGTACACTAACAAAGTCCTCATCAGATCTATTCATATCATACACAAAAAGAAAAAAAAAGGTGGAATTTAACAATGACAACTACAGCGGCTTGAATATTACAGAAACCAAGTAATCATTTTATGAGAACAAAAAAACATACATAACTTAAACATCTATACCACACAAGCTTTGCCTCTTAATGTGAGCACCAGCACCCAGAGCAACCAACTTGACATGGAAGGATCAGCAATTGACACCACACTGTCCCATGACCGCAGCCTTTTGTGTGGAAGAAGTAAATGGATCAATGTGTACCCAGAGCAATGAGAAGATTGAGGCAAGGAGAATGGACCACACAATGACAATTGTAGGTGTTCGGTTTTGCCGGCCCATAAGCCCCTTGAGGAAGGGATATAGATGTGCAATCACCCAAAATGCGAAGAACAGCCTTCCGAACAGAGGACCCCATGACTGGTAGCCGCTGTTGATGGCATAAGAGACGCCTGCCACGATTCCTACCATGTTGATGACCAAGACAGTAGTTGGGGGAACAAGGAGACTCGTCCACTTGAACACATACAACTCAGCAAAGTCTCCGTCGTCATCTGAAGACTTGGATGTGACCGTGAAGCTGGTGTCTATCCCTGCTAACACCTTAAGCAGACCCTGGAACACGGCAAACAGGTGGGCTGATGTTCCTCCAATCACCCAAAACTGCTCATTCCTCCACCAGTCCTCAATCCCGACCCCGCTCCACCTGAGTTCAAGAATTCCAGTAGCGAAGATTGAGATGAAGAGCAGAATGAACCACATTCCTGCATAATTGCTTATCTGCACAATGGATGGATAGTAGGATCAGAAGCAACCTAGGCAATGTAAAAGGTGCCAGTTGAAATAAAGAATGAAATTGCAATGATTGCAACTGCTAAAGTCAAAATGTAAAAAAAAAAAGGGACCACATTTGAAATCACCCAGAAAGAAATGAACATGAAGCCATTTGTGTGATGGTGATTGCAGATCAAATCCTGACTTCACACATTTTGGCATGAAGGATCGAACAACTATTGCATATGTATGTGAAAAAGAATGTCTCCTCTACAAGCAAGATATCAACAACCGTAAGCTTGCACCAAAACACCAAACATATTAGGTCTAGATCAGTAATCTGTTTTTTACTGCAAACCATAAAGTGAATTTGGGTGGATTTCGAGAGAGTAAATTAAGTTAAGTTCTTACTTAAGTTTTTATAAGTGCTTCTGCTGTTCAATTTCCTGAAGCATGATGTGCGGCACAACATGGAATTTTTTTTCAGGTGCATTACTATAACATGCTTATTTACGCTTTTGCCTTGAGGAAATAATGGATTGTGGAATACCCCAGTTTAGTCGTATCGAGGTTTAGATAGGCTTATAAGGCTAGATGGGTCTATCATTGACAAATTGGACTTAAGCATGTTGAGCAAGTGTCTGAGACTCATCAATTTAATTGATTAGTTACTCCATCGAGCCAGATCATGATACAGCATGAGCCCATCCACTTTGCACCTGGGTCTATTGACTAAGGAATAATAGGTGCTAATATCCAACAGAATGTGAGAACTATAAAATGTCAAACTGGTCAATATAAGCTGGTTCTCAATAATACTGTAATTCCGTATATAGCCTCCCAGAATTCACACTAACAAAGGTGACATCTAGATCGGTTACTCATTATTAGTCATGCAAATGGTCAAAGAAACTAAACCAAAATTGCATGCACAAGAAATCAAATGAGAGTCTAATGATAGCTGTAATAAAAGAAGCTAACCTCTGGAATAATAAATTTTCCTGTGAGAAGGCAAATAGCAGGAAGAACACAATAGGCAATCAGTGGGATGGACGTGATTGGATAAACTATGGTATTAATGTATGCCACCCTCTCCAAAAGCTTCAATCTTCCATTGTAACCATACCATATAGGGCAATGTCTACTGAGCAGGATTTCAATTGATCCCAAGGCCCACCGCAACACTTGGTTGAGACGATCAGAAAGATTGATTGGGGCAGAACCCTTGAATGCAGGGCGGGGAGGCATGCAATAAATTGAAATCCATCCACGAGCATGCATCTTAAAACCAGTAAGAATATCCTCAGTAACAGATCCATATATCCAGCCAATCTGAAAGTAGGTGAACAAACAAAAATCATCAACTTATTTAATAGAGAGCTAAAACATACTAGAAGGTAACAGAGTGTATCTTAGATTAACCTCTTTTCCCCATTCAGTTTTGTCTTCATACCCACAGCTAATAACATGTATGGCTTCTTTCAGAAGAGATGCTGGATCCGTGGATGGTGGTATGCCTCCCTGCTCCATGAAGGTAGATGCAATGAAAATTGGTGACTGACCAAATTGCTTTTCCAAGCTCCTCTGAGACATGAGCAGTGATCTCTCATCCTCATAACCTTGAGAGCCAAATAAATAGACATAATTCAAACTTGACAATATATTGTCAAGATGCAGGAAAAAAAGAGAAAAGAACATAACAAAAGTGTTCTTTACATGTAGAGGAGGAATTTATTCAGCAGAAAAAGGATGGTTTTTCAATGTGAAGAATCTTTTGTAAATTAAAGTAGATACTCTGTAAGTTTCTCAGGAACAAAAGATCATGGTTGTGGCTAACAAACAGCATGCTCTAAAAGGCTGTCTTGTTCATAATCATATCAACAATAATGAGAAACTAAAAGATAATATGTGATTTCCAGTGATTATGCATTCACTTAGGTACACAAAACATACTAGTGATCAACATATCCAATTCAAATCAAAGGTAATTTGATTGTTTCACTTCCTAGATCATGAGATCAAATATAAATCCATATCTGGCTTAAAAATACAAGTGACATTTGGGTTTCATTGAAAGTTTGCATGATGCCTCATAAAGAAGGAATAGTGCACACAGAAAATATGCATGGATGTGGTTGTGGTGAAGTGCAAAATGTTCACAATGCTAGAGATTGACCTTAAAAAATAAGAAACATATTGCTAAAGAATCATTGCCATGTTCAAAGATCAACAATATGAGTCAAACTCCAAGAAATAAATTAGGCGGACGAGTAGATCATTTAAAAATTGGACAGAGGTATCAAACATATGCGGAAAACCAACATATCAAGAGTATTAAGAGTTTTAGTTTCTTCACCACCAACTGACACTACTGGCAAAGTTCCAGTCATACTGTTTGATAGAAAAAACATTTACACTTGTGAAGTTCCTCTATGTCACCAATAAACACAATATTGCAAATTATGAAGCATTAGTGCTCCAAATTGGTTATCATATCATACTAATCAATTACTTTCTCCTAGATCTAAACAAATCATTAGATAGATTGTCCACATGTTATCCATATTGAACAACAATGATTAATGAGATTTATGAAATGATCTTGCCACAGTTATCATAAGTTCTTGCTGTCTTCTTCTCTATATATTTGATATACCATGTTACTATCGTATTGGTATCTAATGTCCATATCCATGCTTTATATAAATCTTCATCAATATCGATAGATTGAAAAGCATCCAATATCTTGTGAAGTTATTACCAGCACAGGAAAGTCATCAACAGTAAATTATGCGAGTTATACTAGTTAGTTCAGGTCTTGCTAACCAACAATTTAGATACAACAGAAGAAAAAATTACTACCTTCTATTCCCTCCTCCATGTCTTCCATATTGAAGATGGGAACTGAAGATTCAGATCTCATCATAGCCCTTTTTTTATTATCAATGTAGCTCTTATTTCCTCCCTTTCGTTTTTTCCTTGAACCACAACAGCTCTTGAACACAATGTTTGGTTCCAAATCAGCCTCGGTTAATACAGGATCATAACCATACAAGGCCTGCCTGTTAAAACAGCATCCTGTCCCCACATAGACAGGACCCTGGATGCCATCCAAACCTTTCAAGTTGATCTGCAAAACATGATACTAGTAAGAAAAAGATTCTTTCCACTATGACTAGTGCACTGAACCATTGGTATATTTCTTACATCAAAAAACACAATGTTCCGATTGGCATATCGATCATGCAAATCAATGCCATCAAATCGTTGAGGAAACTGAACATAGCATGTCTTCTTTCCTAGTGCAGGATCCATCATAAAACACATTGCTTCCCGGAGAGCTTTGCTGTTGTTGAAGTAATGATCACAATCCACATTGAGAAGATAGGCGCCATTGGTCAAG